CCCGAACCTGGTCTGCCTCAGGTCCTGACCAGGTCCTGACCCTGGTCGGCCCCGGGTCCTGACCCTGGTCAGTCTCAGGACCTTACCAGGACCTGACCAGGTCCTGACCCTGGTTGGCCTCAGGTCCTGACCCTTCTTTCTATCTCAGGACCTGATCCAGCCTCAGCCTACAGCTCAGCCCCGCCGGGGGCCGGTCCCAGCTACGGTTTCCATGACGACTACACCTACGGCCCACAGCGCCGGGCGGGGCAGGCGCCTCCCGGCACCGGGGGCGGCTTCTGGACCGGCATGGGGACGGGAGGGGTGCTGGGATACATGTTCGGTCGTCAGAGGTCTGTGGAGATCCTGAAGGGCTCCTGGGGGGGGGGGGACGAGCCCCCGGCTGATTCTGCTGTGTCATGGTTTCCAGATCCCAGCCCTACAGGTCGCCTCCTACCACAGGAGGCTTCACCTCCTCCTCCTCTTCCCCCCCCCCCCCCTCCTCCTCCTCCTCTGGGACCCGCACAGCCTCAGGTAATCGATCCAGAACATAAGGAGTCCGACACAGAGCCCTGGGGGGCTTTTCTGGGCTGGACCCGCTCAGCCTCTGGGCTCCGGTGAGTAAAAAGCTGCTCTCTGTGTGGCCCCCAGGTTTCGGGGGGACCAGGAAAAGATAGGAGCTGCGGGAGGAGGGCCGACTCCGGCGGATGGACGCAGAGGGGCGTTCAGGGGGAAAAAGACGATCCGTCACCCCAAATCCACCCTGGGCATTACCTCCTGGACTTTTTTTAATTCAGCTTTAAATCGTGTTTTTTCTGGTTTAAGGAGGACGGTCAGGCTTCCTCAGACAGACCGAGTGTCCCCACAGGCCTGTGTGGGAGCCTGTGGGCATTCCTCCCTGTACTGTAGATGAGCTTTGATTAAATTTGTGTATTTAAGAATACAGCCGCGTGCTTCCCCCTGCCTGTCCCTGTGTTCTGTTACCGGCAGACTCTGGGATCTTCGGGCTCAGACCCTCAGAACCCGCCGGACCCGTCTCGTCTCTGAGGGTTTCCTCCTTTCACTTTAACGGGAGGAAAACAGGAACAGGTCTCACCAATGAGGGCGACTCCGGTGAGGCTGGCTCCGCCCCCTGTGCCCACTAAAACAGATTTATCTGACTGTTTAATCTCAGAACAAACAAACGGGGTCCAAAAAACACACTTAAAAGTCGATGGTAAACAGATTTTCGGCTTCAACCAACAACTAACTTAATTTACACCGTCAGAAAGTTACTCACAACACCTTTTTATTTTCAAAATTGATGTTTAATACAAAAAGCAGAGAACCCAAAGACGGTCTGAAGTGAAGAGTGATAATTTTTCACATTTCTCAGTGGATGATATGGTCACAAAAGTCTCCGAGTGAAAAACTTACAACGTGGCACGAATGACATGAGTCCGTTAGGAGATATGGAGGCCCGAGGGGCTGTTTCAGCCCCACGTCGGCCATTTTGGCAACTCACCGTGTTGAAGAAGCCTTTGGCTTCGGTTAGCTTAAAACGAGCTGAAAATAACACTTTTTCTGAAGAAATCAAACAGCACTTAAGTTCTTAAAAGCATATACTGTACGTAACAAGAGCCACATTAATATAGTTTATAATATTCTATTTGCTATCTTTATGAAACACTACGATGCAGCCAGAGTTCAGGCCGATAAGTTCATCTGAAAGGAAAAATTCAAAGTGACATGCAAAGTTTCTCTCCCTCCTCCGTGTCCCTTGTTGCCCCTCTCAGTGCAGCCTTCCTCTGAAAAAGGAAGAAGTTGTTCACAGTTTGTTTTTTTCCAACTCACAGCAGGGTGAGCTCCTATTGGCTCAGGTTTCAGCGTCAGCAGCTGCCATTGGCCGAGCGCGGGGAGCTCTGATTGGTTCTCTGTCCGTTTGGCACATCATCCAGCTGGCAAAAAGAACTCTTATGACGATACTATTGGCACGTGCAAATGTGTGTGTGTGTGTGTTCCAGGCGTTTGTGTGCGGTGTGTCTGTACATTGGGTTTCCGCTGCGTCGGCACGGAAACGGGGAAGGATGCTCCTCTGGCCCGTCCTCTGGATGTCTACGGGCCCGAAAAAGGTTTGGAAACAGCAGAACTCTGCCGTCCATCGTCTCATCTGGCCGCTCCAAACCGGGTTCCACCCGAACCACGAACAAACACATGCCGGTAAACTTATATACGCAGCAGAATGGAAAAATAAATAGTCGTTTATCAGTCGTACGGAGGTCTTGTCTGAGAATCGGTGAGATTTTGTGTGTAGATGTAAGCAGCTTGTAAGCAGAGCCAGAAGATAAGGTTTGTTATTCTGTGATTTGATTTGAGTTTCCCATCCTTTGTGTGTGTATATGTGTGTGTGTGTGTGTGTGTCAGCCCATGCATTTTTTGGGTCTGATAGACGTCTCTATTAACGAGGGATTATCAGGCAGAAAAAGAAGAAAAACAATAAGGAACAATAACATCATTAATATCATTACCTGCTATCACAATAAGTCATATTTTACGGATGTGATTGTTCAGGAAATCAAAGCCTTTTTTTTAGTTTGTTTTTTTTTCAGCCTCGGCCCCCGATCACATCCCTGATTACTGCTGTTATTGCGTGAACGTGTCCTTGTTTTCTGTACAAGAGGAGCCTCCGTGGCCCGGATCTACAAAAACAAGTCGTTTTCCGTTTTAAAAAAAGGTTGACTGTGCTTGGTTGTTTGTGTGGATTAGTGTTGGGGCCAGTCGTCTCTCGCCGATGGTCAAGCGACTCGTTTCAAAGTCGCTTTTCTGTAGCCGGACAGCCAATTGCTTTTGGGGGGGGGGTTGTTTTTCTAAGCTAGATGTTGGAGGGTTGAGCTCTGGAGCTCTCCGAAAGCTGCGAACTCCAGAGAAAAAGATCAGGACAGATGGCCCACGGTGACTGGGGACTAGCATTTGTGTCCACTTATGGGGTGGTTGGGTGGGCAGGGGGGGGGGGTGAAGGTGTGGACCGGCTGTAAGGCACTGACTGGGTGTGGTCAGGAGAGATCTGTCATGCTGAGGCTCATGGGTAATCCTGGGCGGAGGTAAGCCACTGGGACACGGCCATTCTCACTGGTTGACCCGGTGATGGACAGGCGAGCTTTGGAGCGCATCGCGTCCGTGAACTTCATCTGCGGGGGACAGAGACAGGCGCGTTAGCCGGGGGGGGGGGGGGCCCCCCGGGGGGGGGGCCGGAGCTGTGCAAAGCAGACATTGTGTTACCGGGAGGAACACAATCTGTGCTTTTGTGAGGACACGCCGACTGTCCTATCTGGTGTCCAGCCAGAGGACGGGAGCTTTATGGACCATCAGGAGGGTTTGGGTCTCACTCCAGAGTTTTAGAAAAATCCAAAGCCTGTCCAGAAGAGGACTGCCCTCAAAACTGAGCCGCCTTAAGCCGGGGGTACACTGTGCGATATTTCCAATCGTTGATCGTAGCTGCTGCTCAAACTGTTCTACCAAATCGTAGGGGTCAAAGATCGCAGCTCACGATTTATGTTCTTACACTATACGACCCGATATGAAATCTGACCACTCGCATTGTGCGTCCAAAAAAGAAGACGATGTCGAACAACGCAACATGAGGGTCACCAGAGCTAAAAGCTGCTTTGACGATTTGCGCGATTGTGTGTATCTCGTAACTTTAATTGTGAAATCTCCCCCCAACTTTTCTCTCTTAAATTTGGGTCATAATGCTGGCTGAGTCGGCCAGAGCTCCACAAGTTGTGCCTCCATTGTTTGATTCCAGCTGCCCTAGTCCTCAGAGTCTCTTCCACTGTGTTAGAGCAGAGCCAGAGGTGGAGGGGAGTCGGGTCGTAGACGCTCCTAACGCGATTAGGATAACACGATTCCCTCACCAGGGCCGACCAGGAACTCAAACCGGTTTGGTTTTAATCCGACCGGACGATCGTGGATCTGGGGGTGGAGACAGGTAAATGGCTACTCCTCACTCTGTGTGTACGACACCATGTGAGATGCACCAGGGAGCTGGAACTCCCGATCCTAAAAATTCTCGCACAAGTGAAAAATCGTGTAAAAAAGGGAAAAAAATCGCACAGTGTACGCCCGGCTTTAGCAGATCGAGTTCTTCTCTTCAAATTGAATTGAATTGAATTGAATTCTGTGGAGGTTTAACATGTAAATGGCAAAACCAGTGAAACTGTGCATAAAATGAACATAGCATGATTGCGTGGGCCGTAAGCTAAAGCTATCCGTATCCCGCCCAGTCTGTCTATGACACTGGATGACACCAGAGTTCAGAAACGGCGGACGAGGTTAAAAAACAGAGACCTGGATGACCTTTCGTGTTTCTGAGCTGGAAACGAGTCTTTGTCCCACAACACCTCTGAAACACAGAATCTGGTCATGAGGGGCCAAAACGTTCCGTTTTCTTTTCAGGAGCAAGTATCCCCCATTTTGTTTAGTCTTTTTGGTAAAGGAGGTTCATTCGTGGAGCACAATTCAGCACTTAAACGGCTAAAAAGACAAATAACATAACCATAAATGTAAAAAAACACCACGACTCGGCAGAAAAGTCTGACTATGAGCAGTCTCAGGTCTGCCGCACAGTGGCAGCTGTCCCTGACATTTCCCATAAACAACACTCGCTGATCCAGAGCCGAGAGCTTGAACTGATGCCCTGCTAATAATCTGTATGAAACAGTGATGTTGGTACTTTTCATCAGGAGAACAACACTGGAGATGGATGGAAACCGGTTCTTTAGCCGTGAGCTTCAGAGGAACTGTAGGTGCAGAAATCAACCATTAACCCAACCGGAATCTGGTATGACGGTGGCCACACGGTGGTATGTTAGCTTAGCATGGGCTCAAAGCGGGTGATGGCGGATGTGCGTTGGAGAGAAAATGGATGCTCGGAAGTGCGTGGAGCTCCTCAGAGAGCTGAGATGACCTGACTGGGGTATGACTTTATCTTCACCTGCGTCCCCTCTGGTCACCAGCATGCTGCTGAAAAAGGCCTCCAAACCTCAGTCTGAGTGACCAGATGAACGAAGCCTATCGACTGTGATCGTGATCGTGATGATGTTTGAGGGAACTTACAGGGCTTTCTGTTACAAAGCTGGCATTCAGAGAGAATGGACTGGGTGACCAGTAAGCCGGTTCATTAAAGGAGGATGATTGGCTGGAAACTAAGGAAGAGCAGAGGAGCGAGGAACATAAGGAGACTAAGGAGAAGCAGAAGAAGGGAGGGAAGAAGGTGTGAGGAGGTCAGAGGACGGGAGAGGAGGGGTCAGGGGAGGTGAGGGATGGCGTGTGAGCTGCAGGACGATGGGAAAACAAAGGGAAGGAGGAATCACAGTCATACACGCTGCTGAAGACCATTTCTTTCTGGGCAGTCTGATTGGCCGCAGGCTCTAATGGTCTCCAGGTTTCTGTGGTCTGGCAAGAGCTGGTCAGCTTCAGTGGCAGCCTCTCCGTGGGGCTTTGGGACTGGATTTGTAGCAGCAATGTCTACAAATATCCTCTAGCTACAGCCTGTAGGAGCCTCGGTTGGATATCCAACTCCGCCCACATCCATGTCGGCCATTTTGATTAGGTCATGTGACTAGCAGCTTTCTGAGGTGGAAACAAACCTTTACTCTCTATATGAAATTGGAAGACAAATGATGTCCTAACCCTAACCCTGACCCTGACTCTAACCCTTACCCTAACCCTGACCCTAATCCTGAACCTAATCCTAACCCTAACCCTAACCCTTATCCTTACCCTGACCCTGACCCTAACCCTAACCCTTACCCTGACTCTAACCCTAACCCTGAACCTAACCCTAACTCTGACCCTAATCCTGAATCTAACCCTAACCCTGAACCTAACCCTGACCCTAACCCTGACCCTAACCCTAAACCCTTCATAATTGTGAGAAATAAATATTATTTGGTTAAATTTGTTTGGACTTATTGTACAAACCTATTCAACATACACTATTTTAACATAATATTATGTATAGAGTTTAATTCAGAGTTTCCAAGATTAATTTCTCTATTTTCAAATTAATGTCTATATTGCCATGAAGCAATTACGATTTTCTCGCCTGTGATCTTCCTATTGGTGACTTAATCAAAATGGCCGACTCGGATGCACTTGATATCAACCGGGGAGGGCGGCCATGTTGAAAAATTGTAACTTTAGTACCTCCTCCATCTCCTTCCCCCCTTACAAAACGGTGCTGGAGGTGAGTTTGCCACTGAAGCTGCCGTCTGCTGCCGTCCAATCGCCGCCTATGACTGTGAGGTCAGAACAGTTGTAGCCGTCAATCATCACTCTCCTACCCGTGCTAGATCTTGACGCTCTCAATGCCGTAAACGTTGTAGCCCTCTTTATAGGTGGCGTAGTTTGGCTGGTGGCTGGGAGACAGCAGGTTGAAGTTGGGGGCGTGTTGAGGAGAAGAAGACAGAGTGTGTGTGTAGTTCCCTGTGTGCTGGGGGGACGACAAGGTGTTGGCCGCCACCTTCGTAACAAAGATAAAGTCATGGTTATTTCTGCACGGAGCAGCCGCTCTTCAGCCGTCCCCAGTCCGAAACCCCCCCCCCACCCCCCGCCCCCGCCCCTGGCAGCATAGCTTCTGCATGCAAAACCCTAAACCCCCGCAAACCTGATGCCTCTCCGACAAGAATTAGACCAGAATTAAAAAGTGTTTTCCAGATTTCCACCTAACATTGGGAGTGTTAGAATCTGGCTATAATGACTCACTTTAGCATTGTATGCTATCACACGATCTATGTAAATTACTAATTGTTTTATTCCTTTTCTGTATCTGGCTGTGTCCACAGAATCTCTCTTTTCGTTTCTCTGTTGTATTAGATCCACCTTTAAGTCAACACAAACACACCATTTGTTACCACATTCCAATGTCATCTGCATGAATTAGGACCTGGCCTGTTTATGCCCAGAGGTAACTAGCCAACAGGACTTGGTTGTGTCCAGTCCTCCTTTGAGGAGATAATGCCCATCACACCCAGATCTCAGGGCTCTTTGCCCACTGAGACCCAGAGAGAGGTTTTTGTCTGTGGTATACTTTGCCTGTGACCTAATAAATGTCCTTTTTATGCTTTTGATCCACTCTGGTTTTTTCTCAGGTTTCCAACTAAAGAATCGGGCTAACGGGAGCGTCAGCTCCACCCCTCCCGAACCTCCCCCTCAGCCTCCCCTAGCAGCGTGTTCAGGAACAGATGCTGAGCAGACCAGGCCTCTAAAAACCCTGGAAATGACAGATATGCGTGGAAAGCTGAAGCCGAGCCAAGCTGCTGACACAACTTATCTCATTCCACCCTAAATGAAGCGGAACAGCGAGCGCCGTCTGTTCCAACAGCGATTCGGAGGTTTGAATGCACTCATGAGGTTAAACGGCCCCGAACCCGACCCTAATACAGCAGAACCTCTACCTACGATGGCCTGAACGTGCGAATGTTCCAAAATCCAAAGTTAAATTTGATCAAATATTCGACTTGATACCCAAAGTAAATTTCCAACATACGACAAAGTCATAGAAAATAAATAAATAGATAGAAATTAAATAACAATAAATAAGATAGGTTAGTTTAAAGTTCCCGTAGTGAAAGTTAGAGTAAGTTAGGGTATGTCCTGTATCTCAGTCTCCACCTCTACCTCAGTTTGCCAATAAGTGCCAATAAAAAACACTTTTTATTGATTATTTCTTTATGATTGATTTATTTTCCCATCTCTCTTATATAATGCATTTGTTTTATTGCTATGTGTGATTATTTGCAGTATTTATTAAGGAGTTATTGTAGGTTTTTGGGCTATGGAACCAATTATAGGAATTCGAGTGTATTCTGATGGGAATATTTGAACCAACATAGGAATACTTTAACATACAATGTAAGTCCCAGAACGAATTAAATCCATATGTAGAGGTTCTACTGTACTGTGATACTGGCACAAACATGCTAAGAGTTTTTAGTTTTCACTACGACCGCATTCCTCCTGTTTCAGAAGCAAACGGGCCAAGAGGTTTCTGGACCGTCACCTTCCTGTAGTGTTTGGCCCCGCCCCGTTTTGGGCTCAACACTAAAGGAAGGTTCCCTTTCTTTTTTTAGCAGCGCTTTGAGGTGTGACTCCTGTGAGCTACTCCTGTCTGACTTTACCAGGGAGCTTTCCTGTCACAGAGCAATGAGCCGATCGGCGAATCAGCAGGAGGCTGGAGAGGGGCGGGGCCACGGCAGGCAGCATGCTATCTACAGGAGGACCAGCCATTCCAGCCTTCACCATGCCACACGCAGGCCTTAAACAGAACCATGTCAGCTCCTGTCCTCCTCCCAGACCCAGAACAGAACCCATCTCCACGGGAAAACCCAGCATTTAAAACCACCTCGAGTCGTACAGCAGGAAAACGGGCAGAGTTTTGCTAGTTTTTAAGAAAACTAGCGTGAAAAAACAAAGCAACCGGGTCGACGTCAGCAGCAGCCGGTTCGGTAAAGTGGGCCTGTTTGACCAGTTAGCAGCTGGTTTGCATTCTCTGAGGACACTCCACATGCTTTTTTAAAGTCAGGCGACTCAGCAAACAACAAATTTGAGTTGTAATGAGATTTTTCCTCACAGCAGTTTAAACACAGAGTGGCCTTAAACACAAAGAAACCAACACTGTTTTTTCCCCCTAAACTCACAGAAATACACAAGCTGAGGTCTTTGTGTGCCTCAGTTAGCCCTTATTGTTTATTTATGACATTAACGAGTAAACTGGACCCATCTCTGATCTGCTGAGTCTTATCAACAACAATTTGCCAGATTCCGTACACTCTTTTGCTGTTTGCTGGCCCAGATTAAAGCCAATCCTCAGCCTGATCAAGCACAAACAAAGCACTGAAACCACCTCTGGAACTTAGCAAAACTATATAAAGTACGATTTACCACATGGCATTTTGAAATGCAAGGATTTTACCATTCTTTAAAAAAAGCTGCTCCAAAACTCTGAGGCAATGCAAAAACACCTTCTCCCTTTGCTTTTTCTGAGTGGGGAGCTTTCCTCGGCGGGGTTAGGGTTGTGTCGGGGTTAGGAATAACCCGCTCTGAGGCCACACTGAAGCTGAGGCCTTCAGGTCCCACGGCCCCCGCCGGAAAAACCTCAGCTTCACTGTTTTTTAGGCTGTCGGGTAAAAATGCTTCCACATTCAGACACGTGCTGGGAAAAAAAAAGACGATGTACCTTCATTTTTTTGGCTTCGGCCCGACTCTTGTAGCAAAACTCCACCAGGGCCACCATCATGGCGAGGCCCAGGCCGCCGACCAAGATGTAGAAGACACCTGCTACGTTACTGAGAGACAGTGCACTGGTCTTCTCCTACCACGCACACAGAGGAGAGAACAGGGCCGCCACCCGGAGAGAGACGTTAGTTTTTGGAGGTTAGCGCCGGTTCGACAACACACTCTACTCACAATACTCGCATTCCACACCAACAACACACACACACACACACACACACACACTCAGCTCATCAGTTCAACACACAACTCGTGCACATCGGCCTGTGTGACCGCCCGTGTGTCCAGTCTGACCCTGGCTTCCTCGGGGGGCCAGCAGCAGAAGCAGTCACAGAGGCTTTCGGGCGGCAGACGGGCTCCCGATTGGCTGACCCGGCAAACTTAAGCAAGGAAAGACCACCCAGCGTCTATTTTTCAGGTTTAGGTCCTTTTTAACTCATTGGCTGCCAAAGACGTCTATAGACGTCTTTTATGTTTTTCAACGCGAGCGACTTGGGGGACGATCCGCTGAAGATTGTCCGTAAATATCGGCTTCTAGACAGAGTATGTACTAACAAATTGACCCTCTAGGTAGCAGTGCCTCGTTTGATGGGAGATTAGCATAGATTGTAGGCCAATAAGAAAAACACAATAGTTCGCTATGCGAAAAATGGCGCCGGTGAGACGCAAGTCGAGGAAGAACGGAATAAGGTAGAAACAAATTTTCTTTTCCTGATGAAAGAAGAGAGTCTACTCTTTCTTTTGGTGTGTTCGGTGTTTTATAGTCGTAGCACAAACTATTCTGTGGCTCTTGAAAAATCAGTCAAAATGCTAAAAAAAAACTCTGACAGTATGGGACTCTCTATTCTGAAAATGGCTGGCAGTCAACGAGTTAAAAATGGCTGCCACAGCTCACACATGGCGGCAGAACGCCGGCTTTTGGGGCTTTGACCCAGAACGGGCCGGTCCCTTTTACAGGGGCCCTTCAGAGGGGTCTGTCCGTACGTCTGCACGCGTGGGGCTAGCTGGGAATGCTTCTGCTGCCGCCTAGGAGCTCCTTAGGCCATAGTCTGAGAGCGGGGCACCGCCCGGCCGCCGTTGGGTCCCGGCTGCTGCCCTGGACTGAACGGGAACAAGCGGGAGCAGCGTGGGGGGCCGAGCTTTTCTGTCAGGACCCCCCCCAAACTGTGTCGCTGATACAGAAAACACCAACTGTGGCACCCTGAGGGCTCCTCTCCTGGAGATCTGAGTATCGGCCTATTTTTCAGCTCCAGCTAGACAGATGATAGACGTGTTTTCTTCTTTAAACCTTTCACATTTGATCTGATTACTGTGTGGTGTGTGTGTGCGTGTGTGTGTGTGTGTGTGTGTTTGTGATTCAGGCTTTTTTGATGGCTGTGATTTTCCCTCCTCAGTCAGTGTTTTGACCAATCGCAGGATAATCGCGTCCTTAGCTGTTCTCTTTGGTGGTCTCCATGGAACTTTGTGCTCATCTTCCACAGTCTGGACATCTGTTCTCTTGTGTTCTCCTCTGTTCTCCTCGGACATCAGGAGTTATCTCAGATGTTGGATCTGAACGTTTTCAACTTTGGGGCTCTGCCAGTTTCCTCTTTTTCCCTCGTTCCTCAGATCTGCCTTCTGGCTGAAACGGCCGTTGATTATCTTAGTGGTCAGAACTGAATACTAAGGGACGGAGATCCAGAGCATCTGCAAAGATCTGCTATAGCTTTCTACAGAACTGGCTTTATTTTCCATAAAAAAATGGAAAAGACCTGACTGGAAGTATCTAAAGCTCTTTCTGCGGAACATAGTTTCAGAGCAGCTGGGCGTCTTAGAAAAGAGAAAACCGTTCTGGGGTCTTACGCACTCGTCTGCATGCGCCTGTAAAAGATCTCTGGAAATGAAAAGAGAAAAGTCTTAACAGTGTACGTAGCATTTTCCCGCCGTTTGGGAAGAGAACAACACGTTGATCTGGTGTAATCCAAGAAGCACAGTCCCATCTTTTGAAGTAAAAAGCTGAAGGAGCTAAGGAGGCAGGAACATTTTCCATTCTGCCTGGTCAAGAGTGGACGACAGACATCAGCTGCCTTTAGCAGCCAAATAGTAGAAGAACTAGTTTTGTTTTCCTGGTCTAAAAAACATAGCTAATGAGAGTTTTTAAGCGGTAATGCTGTCAAATTTGTGTTTTGGAACTCTGGAAAAGACGGTGAAGCAGCCGTTTGTCTTCGAAGGGCAAAAGGTTTCAGATCACCAACCCCTTATTTTACTGAAACTTAGTCCTGATTGTCCATGTCACACGTTGGGAAGAGTGAGCAAAAAGTCAGCCGTAAGGAGGTTCTGAGGAGGGAAAACAGAGCCACGGTGTCCTTTCAGCCTACATGGTGAAGTTTTCTCTCCTGGACTGGACCTGGACTGGACCTGGACCTGGTCCTGGACTTTGAACTGTTAGGAGTCTACATTGCTTAAACTGAGACAGGAAACCAGAAACCTCTGCTCATACAGATGTGAAACAGTGGAAACATCTAATGGACGCGTGTTGTCTTCTGCCCCCCCCCCCCCGCGTCTGTGTGTGTGTCATGCTACACGTGTGAACAGTGTTTGACTGACCCACAGACACAAAACTAACCTTACTGGTGGAGTCCTTGAAGCCACACTCTCCTTTATCGTACCACCACTTGTTTTTCAGCTTGTCTAGGGTTCCTTGCTCATTCAGTTTCAATACGGCAAGGTTTACTGGCACTCTTCAATGGGAATAACATAAATAACATCATTATCAATGTTATCTTATGTTATTAATGGGGCAGCGGTTCTCACACTGTTCTCGCAGCCAACAGGGTCCACCACTATAAAGCACTTTGACGCCCGCCTGGGAGCCTAAACCCCGTTTTCGTGTGCTCAGTCAATCCGTAAAAGCCCAGTTTCGTGGGGTGGGGCTCCTCTGCTTGGCCTCAGAGACAGAAATGAGAAGCGCGGCGGCGACAGCTGCATTGACTTCTGGGCCGCGGTACCCGCGCGGCCGGGGCCCCTGATCCACGGAGTTCGTCCAAACTCCCGATCAGCGGCCCCCTCGCGTTGCTGCCATCTGGTTGGAGGCTTAACCCTAACCCTAACCCGATCCCGACCTCAACCAGACAGGTGCAACAGGCTGTAGAGGAAGCAGCTCGGGGGGGGCGCAACACTGCCGGTGGGGCGGCGCCCTCAGGCTCCCGCCGGAGGGGCCCGACTTTTTTAGTCCTGTTCCCAGTTCCTGACCCCAATCGGCTCTCTGTGGGAAGCTTGGTTTGAACTCTTGAGATTCTCTGTTAGCTAACATCTGCTGCCCCTGGCGGTGCTGGAGCCGAGCTGCTTCATTACAGTGCTTCAGTACACTGTGCTAACCCCAGGGCTATACCTCTGTGTTTGTGCGGCGCGTATATGTGTGTGTGTGTGTGTGTGTGTGAGACAGAGAGTGTGTGTATTAACCTTGCTCTCCCCTCCTCCGCTGCCGCATTCTCCCTTGTCATACCACCACTTGTTTTTCAGTTTGTCCAGCAGCCCCTGCTCGTTCAACTTTAACACCGCCAGGTTCACCGCGTTTCTACATGAACACAGTGGCCGTTAGCAGTTCACTTCGGCTGGAGAAAGGCTCTCCCCCTACACAGATATGCATGTCAGCAGCTCAACGTCTTCATTCCTAACATAGACAGAGAAGAAACAGCTAGAATGCGTCAGTGCAGAGAGGTTTTTCCTGGACCTGCTCAGTCATGAATGTCGAACGTGTGTTAGCATAACACATCTTAATGTCACCACGGAGATGGGATCTCTCTCACGGTCGATTAATATCATGAATGTCTCATCAAATTATAATAATTGTTAGTATCAAACCTCAAAATTAAGAACATTTTAGATGGTACTCGCTGTTCTTTTTGCTAAATGAACTATCTTGTTGTTTGACTAGTCTGCTTCCTTTCGTCATAATTATGGGAAAATTAATCTGCTCTATTAGTTAATTCCACCAACCACTGGAGTGGAGCAGTGATTCACATTGTGATGGACTTCCAACTTATCCAGGGGGCTTTAACAAATGGCAGCTGGGGCAGATTCCTCTTCTTAATTTTATCAAACAAACTTTTACGCTTTTAAGTGCAGAGATGCTCAAAGTTAGCTGACTTTGTTCATTAGTTTGGAATTAATTCACTTCTATTTAATCATTTTAGTGTCTTTAATGACCAACAACACTGTCTTTAGAAAATATCAGCAACAGTTAAATAAAGGTTAAAAAAAGCTACAGAGCAGGTTCTTGAAGGTTCTCCAACCAGCGAATTACCTGCTGACAGGTGAGGGTGTCAGGATTGGGTATAAAAGCCCCTCCACCAAAAATTTAGTATCTTTAACAAGGATGTTGGAGAGGGGTTGGTCAGACTTTAAAGAAATGTGGTCTTAAGAGAGATTCAGGGTGCCTTAGAACCACTTGTGGTAATGACAAAGACAAGAGGAACCAAGTCAAATTACCCCCCATAATTATAAAGATAAGAAAAAAGGTCTTTAGAGCCCTGGACCAGGCAGCACTGAATCTGGAAATTAACCAGAACTGATTGTTCAGAGAAGAATATTAAAATTTTCCCCTGAAATTAACTTATTGGAGGAAAACTGTATTGAAAGAAAAGGCCCAGAAGGGGTTAGGTTTCAATCAAGGCCCTGAAAAGTACCCCAATCCTCCATTTCAGCAGATGTGATGTGACCAGTAACCTCCACTGGTTAAAGGAGGATTATAGCACTATAGCCCTACCCCTAAACAGGAAGGTCTTAGTTAAAGAAACCTGTTCCTAAAGCTACCAGGATCCCAGCAGGTGCATGAGCCCAGGGGGAGCCTGGAGAAACATTTTCTCTGTTTCCAGAACTGAAAGCTCAAGCTGGAAGGCCCCGTATGGGAGAAGGTACCACTGGAGCAGAGGGAATGCTGGAGAGCTTTGGAGCCTCTTTTCCCTGAAGCTCTCTGGTGGTTTTGACAGACCTCGTTGTGCACAAGGCTGAAATCTGGACACAGATCGTTCCGGAGAAGCTGCAACAATCGGTGTCCAGACAGGACTCTGGGCCAGATTTTACCACGGCGGGCTTTTCTAAATACAGGCGTTGGTCAGAGAAGGCACCGTCTGGTGAGTGACTAGCTAACTTATTTGAGTTATTTTTGATCATGTCAAAAGCCTGAAAGCTGACCTGGAAGTCCATTTTCATAGTAAACCAAGTATAACTGAGCAAACAAAGTTCCTGTCATGAAGGTAATGATGTCTCAGGACAGCATAACAATTTGACTGATCCCTTAAATTCCATCTAAATTAAATTCTTATGACTGTTCTCAACCAATTACAGCGAGAGTCAAAATGAAAAATCGTCAGCAATCATTAATTGACGCAACTATAGATTTTCGAGAGCTATACTGTTTTGATTGCTTTAAAAATTGCTGCATTAACGCTACTATTCTTCCTTCATATTTCACATTAAGTAACTATTTAAGAGAGATTAGTTAGTGGTTGATGGCAGCTGTGACGGCATGTGGAGCCTTCGGGGTGCAGCTGGAAAAGGGGAGGATCGGCAGCTGGAAGGCTGCCTTGAATTTCTTATGCTTTGGTCCCGGACAGAGATGGCTTCTCCACAATGAGGATCCACAGAGTCCTGCTCTGGTCCCACTCTGCAGTGCACAGCTGGAATTGCCAGGATTTCTGAATCGCCAACAAACGGCAATCCCCGTTTAAACCGGTTTCACACCAACCCAACCAGGTCAGACAAATACACACATAGCCAGTCTCCCAATGGGAGATGAGCAACGACAGGACGGATTCACGAGATTAGTTAAGGCTGAACCCCGTGAGGCCACATTTCGATTCAAGTCTGTGACACAGTTTCCTGATTACAGAAGAAAATAGAGTCGAGCAGGAACCTGAATCAGAGAAGAACTCAAATACGGATACCAATGAATAAGCTGTAGCTCCAATATCCAAAGCATAGAAAGGGTTTTTTCCTGGAATGATCCCTGGGAAAGCCTCCTTCTCTGGCTGATGACATCTGATGACTTGGAGTCAGTGTCCTGACTACGACTTCTGCTCTATTCGAGAAGAAGGACTATTTCAGAGACTAGAGCCAGATAAAGAGGCTCAAAAGAAGCAGCGACCACCAGCTGTAGCGCTCTACTCAATGTCTGCTCATGCTTTTGCTTTAAGGGAATCCCCAAAAGACTAGACTGCTACTACCACCGAGGTGCTTTGACATGTCCCTTCATCTAAGGACCATAAACACCTGTGGGGCAATGCAAATTCAAGGGTTCCCGAGTCCAGAGTGGATCGTGGGGTGAGTGAGAAATCCTGGTAATTCCACCTGTAAGCAACCCGGGGAACATTTTATAAAACTGCAAACTGCACTTTGTTTAAAAAGCGGGAGCTGGAACGTCATTGGGAGAGAGTTTCTGTCTTTGCAGGCGTAGATGGCTGGAACCCGACGTGTCTGAGAGCTAAAGACCCCTAAGGTGGTAGACTCGGGCTATAGATACCCACAGGGGATGCCTCTGGTTTTCAGCCACCACGACTCCCTTCAGCAAAAAGCCAAAAGGCTGTGATGGGCGACCTGGAAAAGTTCAAACTAAACTTTGGATTAGATCACAGTCAGGTGCTCTTCATCTAAGATGTGACGATGCTGACTTGAGTCATTTTTAATGTGTCAAAATGTGGCGAGCACACTGAGTTTTCACTGTTTTTCTTAGCTAAACCAGAGTGTAACAGTAAAGTCATGCTAGGAGCAGAGACATTAGAAATAGTGGCAAATTAAATGGAAACATTTCATTCTAGTCTGAAAACTATAGAGCTGAAGATGTCTCTGGTTCTACCATGTGACATGAGGACAGCAGTAAACTTAAAGCTGCATTAAGCGATTTCCGTGTGAAGAGTCGGTTGGGAGGCGGAGAGTTTTTCTAATCTGTGTGCAGGATGATATTCCGCTTCTGCTGAATTCTTTGCTTGAAAGTGCGTCTGGATATTGGGCAATAGCGAGACAGAAAAGAGCAAAATTATGTCTCATTTTCTAGCAAAACGTGACTCCGTGGCAGGGTTCAATTCAAAATTTGAGTCAAGCGTCACACTAAATGAAGAAAAGAGATTAAAATGTTCATGTGACTGAATTGATGCTGATCTTACAGGATCTGCATGTAGGTTTGATGGGAATAATTCATAATATTCAAAGACCAGCATCTGAAAATGGCAAAAATGATGGAAGACGGTAACTGCATTGACTATTTATGACACTTCAGCTCTAACAGCTGCTGCAGGAGGACAGCTCCCTCCCTCCCTCAGGCTGACTGATGAAGAGGGGCCATGATGAAGGCCTGTCTCATTCTGCCTCATCTTTGGTCTTCTCCTGAATAGCGCACGCATTGAAATGATTTATATACAGGAAAACCATCAGAGCTGACACTGTGGAATGGAAGACATAATGGAGGCATAATAATCTGTGTCTTGTCGCGTATGGCGACAGGAGTCTCCGGCGCCTCTGATTGGCTCTTTGGTTCTTTATAACCCCCCCTTAGATGTAAAACGGCTGACTACAAACAAGCACTTTACTCCAGATCGTTACACACTAAATCGCTTAATGCAGCTTTAGGTAAAAGTCCCCCGAATCCTATAAAGTGCAATCATTGTGGAGAAAAATAGTTATTTAGTGGAAAATAAACAAGGGTGCGGGGACATAGAACAATACAGTCACTGACAATGTGCTGAAAAGAGAAGAAACAACAGACATCGTGAGTGACAGGCATGCAGCTTTACATGAACAAAGACGCCTCCCTGAGCCAAAAACCTGTTGGGATGTATGACAAAGTAGTGCACTATTTCCTACTGAGTTGTCTTTATATGTATACTGTATATAGTAAAAATAAGAACATAGACTGCCCTGGCATGCTGGGGCTATTTAGCATAAAATAGTGTTCCCTCCAGAGCAAAATCTCCTTTCAGACATGACCTGCTTTGCATTTAAATGAGAAAAATGTTGCATGATTAGGTCATTTTCATGATTAGGTGTTGTGTGTTTAACGGAGACATGGCTGCAGGAGCACATACCAAAACCAATTGGAAACGCAAGGCCGGACAGAATGATCTGTAAACTGTAAACTGTAAACTGTAAAGAGGTGGTCTTTGTCTCCTGCAGCCAAGCTTGTCCGGTCTGTTTCTGACTGTCCTGCCGTGACCATTGACCTTTGTGCTGCTAACTGAGGCCTGCAGAGTCTGAGGTGCAGCTCCCGGTCTTGGCCCCCTCGGCCTGACCTTGCCGGGACGTCCACTCCTGGTCAGCTGTCCTGAACGTTCTCCAGCTGGGGAGCATCTTTCTCTCTCCGGATGGACTCCAGGTAGTCGTAACTGGCCTTAAACCCTCAGACTGATGGCCAGCAGCAGCTTCTCTCACATCATTCTGATGTCTTTCCTCCTTGGCATTGTGTTAACATACACCCGAATACTCCAGGTGTTCAAACACACTGATGATGATCAATGAGGTTTTTAATCCAAATCCAACTGTTGGGTGATAGGTGACTTCTTTTTTCCCCAAACTGCTTCTACAGTTTGTGTCAGCTCTTGTTCAGTAAATAATGGCTCAGTGTAAAATATCCTGGATAGGACTGATGGAGACCTGACTGCCAATTTTAATGGAGTTTTTAGTTTTATCATGAGTGTACTTAAACACCGAGCAAACTTAAACTAAGGAAATGTTGATGGAAAGGTAGGATGTTGTAATCCGTAGCAGTCAAAAGGTAAATACAGTCTTTAAGGACCTTGTTCATAATCTATTTTATAGTCCAATGTATAGATATCAAAGGTCTCGCAAAGAAGTTGATTATCACTCCTTTCTTATAAATAAAAAAAAGTTAACTCTCTCTGACTGAACCCAGTCCTCTGAGCAGCTAAACCTCTTAGACATGTCCCACTCTGAATGCCTGGCAATTTTACGGAAAAGTAGGGAAACATGAGTGGATCTAAGGAGAAAAAAGGGAACTCTGGGATGTGAAAAGGTGATTGAGGATTACGAGGAATGTGCCACTAGCATCGGAATAAAGCTTATCGATATTTAGTGAGATGGTGTGTTTAACAAAGCAGGCACACACAAATACACAAAAACAGCTGAGAAACGTAGAGACAAAAACCCCTCGTCGGGTCTTAAAGAAACAACGTCATGAATATGTCATGTGAGACTGTCTGGAATTGTTTGTGTTTTTAAGGATGTGTGAATCCTCAGATCTGTTGTCAACATCGTACGTTCTTTGGGGGTATGCTCAGTTTTAACCGACAACTTTTTGCTTTAAGACCCGACATGACTGGAACAACCCCCACACCCCATCGTCACGGCGACCACCCCCAGCCGCTGGTCAGAGGGTGGTAACCACGGTAACGATACAAACCACAGAGAGACGACGTCATCAGGGTAGGTGGATTATTATAACAACGAGGAAGCCGCCATGCTCCATTCGTCACACTCGCCTACTGCCGAAGCCCTGGCGCTAAGGCTCGGGACTAGACCTATGCTCCCCATGGCCGATTGGTTTCCTACAGCTCCTGAGGTGGCGGAGGGACTATGCGAATTGGGAGGGGAGCCGTATGCTAGGCAGCAGGTTAGTCGTGTGAATGGTACTTGGCAGTGCAGGTTGGCTAGCATTGTTATACTGATCCACCCACCTTAATGGGGATCCTTTGGGGGTGGCGATGCCGTAGCCCTTGGAGTCCAGGTTCCCCCCCACTTTCATGGTGTCGCACGGCTTCCTCTGCTCGATGTACTCGTTCATGGTGGACTCCAGCAGGTAGGCGTACTTCCCTTTGGACTTCCGGACGCGCAGGACGCCCTCCGACGTCTTCTTGACGAAAACCGACGGCTCTGCTGACTTCATGTACTGCCACATCTTGTCAAACAAGGCAATTTTAGAGCGCTAAAAAGGCAGAGACACACACATACCTCGGGTTAATAACCACCTCAGCAACCGGGAGCCCTCAGGCCGAGGAAATATGCTGACACAGAGTCTACATTTTTTGGCAGTTTTAGTGGATAATTGGGACTATATGTGCACATCCACCCTGTGGAGGGCTGAGACATATTCAGAAAAACTCAGAATAATCAGTGCTGCACAGCTGATGTCGAGCGGCTGATTTGGGGCAGAATTGTAGGCGTCGCTCTACAGTGAAGCTGCAGTTTCTGAATAATGAAGCAACTCTCTGAGCTGGTTAGAGGTCAGTAAAAAAAAATTAAAAAAAACCTGCCGTGACTAATCGTGAGTGAGCTCCTCTCCACAGGTCTTACATCTGAGTGTTTGAATTCTAAATGACAGAATAGAGGGAACGCAGCCTGTGCACACAACAGGGCTTTTGATCCACCAGCAGGGTGGCTTCTGGATTTGCTGAAAAAGGGATTACGATCGTATGTTAATCTTTTCAAAGGACGGTGCGCCACGGTGTTCAGCACAGGCTGAAAATTTGCTGGGAGCTACGTCGGTGAATCAGGAGTTTCTTGTGTCTGCGAGTTTGAAGAGGTTCTCTACCCTGAAGAATTCCTTGGTGGATCCAGAGTCCAGCGTCCCGTATGCGATCTCCGTCTGTTTGGCCAGGTCTTCAGCACTCTCGATGGGAGAAACCATCCTCTCCACCGTCAGGAAGGCGGCCAGGTTGGCCGTGTAGGAGGATATGATGATCAAAGTGAAAAACCACCACACGCCTCCAACTATGCGCCCTGAAAGAGACCTGAGCACCCAAACACACAAAAAATGACTTCTCCCTGTTAGTTTCTGCAGTGACGCAGTAAAATGATGGATAACTCATTCAACACATTATGATTCTGGGGGGAGGGGGTTTAAGGAGAGCTCATCTATCATAAACAAGCCTGGCAGCACTGAAACTAACAGCAAAAAATAATAATAAAAAAGAGGAATATGAGCAACAAGAAAGGAAACCACAATAAAACAAGAAATACAGGAGTAACATACACAGTCAGAAGGTAGATAAAGACCAATCAGAGGAATAATGGAAGGTGTTTTCATGGCCAAAGGAAGTGAAGTTTTAGGGTTATCTTGAGAAAAAAAAGGAACATCTAGCTGCTTCACTGTGTTATGTAACCTTTGGTTTTGAATTTTTCTTCTCTAACAGGTGTCTAACTCATGAACTAAGCTCTGTAAACTGTCTCCAGAATCTTTCTGTAACTAAGAGGTCCTAACGAGCCCGAGTTAAGCCCAACCTCAGGAGGGGCAGTGAGAGCGTCATACCCACCTGGGTGAAATGTCACAGCCTTGCCTCATGAAAGCCCCCAGGGAGAACCAGAGGGAGTTAAAGATCCCAAACTCATTGTTGGACTCGGTTGTCAGGGGCAACGCTCCGTCCTCTGGTTCCTCGAGAGTCCACTCATAAGGACTGAATCTGGACACCTACAGAGGTGGAGCACCATCAGAGGACAAGGTCCAGTCATCATGCAGCCATTAGCATCTTTTTGGACTAAAAGTCCAGCTTTAGATGAGTATGTCCAGACATGAAAACAGCAATTTGATAGAAGATAAAAACCTTGAAGTCCACCTATAAGTTTTTTTCCATTTAAAGTAAAAGAAAAGAAGATGGACATAAAAAAACAAGGGTATTTGATACCATGTCTCACAAGATTCAGATATAAATTATATATATTTTTATATATGTACACACATTATCTGCCAGCTTTACACGCCCACTTTGAGGTCTTGACAGTGTCCTAGAAGAGACCAGTTCACCTACCAGAAACAGCACAACACTGACTCCGATGTAGGCAAAGACGATGCACATCCAGATTTCGTAGGCCAGAGGGTCCAGGAAGGAGAACACTCCCGGTTTGGATTTCTGTGGTTTCTTGATCATGATGGAGATTCCCAAAGACATAAAAGGTTTGGAGAAGTCGATCACTTCTTCACGGACCAGCGTGATGGTCAGGGGGGCCACGGCTATGTCGGCTTTCTGTTGGAGGACAAAAACAGAAGAAAGATGTTAAAGGAGACGCCCCCTCTGAGGAACCAGTCAGGGTTCAGGAACCAGTCTCTCTTAGTCCTCTCAGCCAGAAAGTTGCAGGTTTCTTCCTGGTTCTGGTTCTGATGGAGGTTTCTTCCTGGTTTTGGTTATGATGGAGGTTTCTTCTTAGTTCTGGTTCTGATGGAGGTTTCTTCCTGGTTCTGGTTATGATGGAGGTTTCTTCTTAGTTCTGGTTCTGATGGAGGTTTCTTCTTAGTTCTGGTTCTGATGGAGGTTTCTTCCTAGTTCTGATTCTAATGGAGGTTTCCTCTTGGTTTTGGTTATGATGGAGGTTTCTTCCTAGTTCTGGTTCTTATGGAGCTTTTTTCTTGGTTCTGGTTCTGATGGAGGTCTCTTCCTGGTTCTGGTTCAGATTGAGGTTTCTTCCTGGTTCTGGTTCTGATGGAGGTTTCTTCTTGGTTCTGATGGAGGTTTCTTCCTGGTTCTGGTTCTGATGGAGGTTTCCTGCTTTAAGGGACTTTTCTCAGCCCACAGTCTCCTCACCTCCTCCAGATGGAAACCGGACCAGTTTCAGAGCAATCTGTTTTTTTCTTAAGGTGAGAAACTTTATTTACAAATTAGCTTTGAATGAGTTAATCTCATTTGCAATTGAATGGCCGTCTCTCCTGTTGCCTGCTGGGATAACCCAACCCTGCTGTTACAAATAATGGAGTGATGGAATTTAATACATCAGATTATCAGATTTTACTGGCTTGCAATAATGTTACAATGAATTTGACTCTAATTGTATTGAATTGAACGATAAAATGTCTAGAAATTACATTCTCATGTGATTTGGTGCTTCACAAACCGTCTTTAACCCATTAACATCTACACTTAGAAAAAATACAGGGAAATATCTCTTTGCTTCTTTTTTATTTCTTGTGAGCAACAACCAGAATCGGTGCTTTTTTCCACCGAAAGTGTGGACGACACTTTATGGTAAAAGTGTGACGTTTTAAAAAAGGAAATCCTGCTTAATTTAGGCATCACACATCTAAACTTTAAGAGCTAGCTTAGCAAAGCGCACTTCCTTTAGTTTATGCGATGACGAGCAGAATCCGTGAAAAATGTGCTCTGCAGGGTGTTACACAAACGTGTGACCTCCATATCTTACCCCGTACACCAGCTCTCCGACCATACCATTCCAGATCTTGGTTTCAGCGTCTCGTGCTCCGTATTTGCCGTCGCCAACAATCCTTAGCTGGTAGCGTATCCCACAATGCTTTGCGATTTCTGCAGCCAGGTCGACGCAGTAACCTAAGAGCAGGTTGGACATGTTAGAATTTAGCTATAATTACTCACTTTAACATTGTATGATATGACATGAGCTATATAAATTACTGATTGTCTTAATCCTTTTATAACTATACTTTTGTGTTAAAGACTCTGGCTGTGTCCACAGACTCTCTTTCCTCTCTTTTCTCTTTTTATTTCTCTGTTGCATTAGATCCACGTCTTTAGGTCAACACACACACCATTTGTTACCACATTCCAATGTCTTCTGCATGAATTAGGACCTGGCCTGTTTATGACTGTAGCTAACTAGCCAATAGGACTTGGTTGTGTCCAATCCTTCTTTGAAGAGATAATGCCCATTACACCCAGATCTCAGGGCTCTTTGCGGACTGAGACCCAGAGAGAGACAAAAGTCTGTGATATACTTTGCCTGTGACCTAATAAATGTCATTTTTATACTTTCGATCTATTCTAGTTTGTTCTTAGGTTTCCAACAAAAAAATCGGGCAAACAGACAGATAAGAAGTCACATTCAATGGGATTTAGCAGTCGTTTAAATCCCTTTCTGCCACAATGTGCTGGCGTCTGTATCAAACCTGAGGGTCGTCTTAACTTAGAGACACACACTTTGCTATCATAGCTTACCTTCGTAACGGTCATTGTCTTGGAAGAGTTCAGCATTCTTCTTAAGCATCACATATGGAGCTTCCTGTTTGGACAAACACAAACGGAGAAGGAAGGATGAGTCTATTGTCATCTCCCCCCCGCCCCCCACCCCTCTGCTGTGACATAATCTTTGGGCTACATTGTTAGCGTTCTATTCTGTTACTTTGGTTTTGAGGGCACAGCCACTACAGATTGTGAGTGCCGCTTCAGTTTCTTCCCACGCACTCACTTAATAATTCAAACTGAGGGCGTCGTGTTTTTCTGGATTTCCTGCATGTTTGTGTTCTGTTTCGTGCAGTTTGGGTATTATTCAAGCTTTGTTTTGTGCTTCTTTTGCCTCCTGTCTTTCTGGTGTGTCTCTTAGTTTACGTCCAAAGTTAGTTTTCCATCCTCATCCCAGTTTGCCTTCCTCTTCTGGTATTTCCACATTCACCTTTCTGATCTTTGCCTATGTTTTAGTACTCCTTCGTAGCTACTTTAGCTTTAGGCTCTTTGTGAACCCCACAGAGAGATGAACGTTTTCCCCACCGGCTCGTTTCTGTAGAATTAAGGTTTTTATGCGTTACCAGGATGGTTGTAACGATGACGGTCTTGTTCTCCATTCCCATGGAGTCGTTAGGGTAGAGGTCGGACTTTGTCAGCACCATCTTATCCACCTCGTTCCAATAGCCGATCTAGGACCACACACAGACGGGCGAACAGGTTACAGACTCACATGCTATCACATGCTATCGCTACACGAGTGTCCCTGCTCAGGTACCTTCACGGGTCCACTGTTCTTCAGCTCCATGATGGTTACAGAGTAATTAACCCTCTTTCCGTACTGATCAAACTGGATGTTTCCCGTTAGGCCGTCCACACGCACCTGAACACACGTCAACTTCAGGTCAATTACTACTTCAGACAGATAGAAAGATTATTCTGTTTATCTATTCAGTCTCGTCTCGCTGCAGACTGTAGGAAGCCAAGGACCCAACTCCGCCCACATCCAAGTCGGACATTTTGATTAGGTCACCAATAGGAAGCTCCCAGGCAAGACAATCGTAATTGCTTTATGACAATATAGACATTAATTTAAAAATAGTGAAATTAATCTTACAAACACTGAATTAAACTCTATACATAATATTAGCTTAGAATAGTGGATGTTAAATAGGTTTGTACAATAAGTCCAAACAAATTTTACCAAAAAATATTTATTTCTCACAATTATGGGGTCAGGGTTAGGGTTAGGGTCAGGGTTAAGGTTGAGGGTTAGGGTTAGGTTTAGGGTTAGGGTCAGGGTTAGGGTTAGGACATCGATCTGATCCGAGCATACCTGTTTGAGGGCCCGCTCAATCTCCACCCCCTGGGCCCAGGGCACGGCTGGATTGGCCAAACAGTCGCCGCTGTTTCCACGGCGACTCATGTCTATCCTCTGCTTGTGCAGGAAGCGGAAGGCCTCGGTCATCACGTGGACAGCATCGTAAGTGAGGGCTGAGGTATACTGAAGGAAAAGAGCCAGACCCAATGATTCAATCTTTGAATTAGGAGGCTTTGAAAACAGTTCTGAAAGGTTTCTATCACTTATTATCATACTACTGAGAGATAAAACCTGACTTAAGAACATAGGTCTCTCATAAGTTTCAGTAAACTGCCCCTTTGACCATTAAAACGGGGATTACATGTCCAATTCTTACTCTGATTCGTGTGTCAGCTCCTGGATACTCTTTCTCCTCCAAAGCCTCCCATCTCTGGTCAAATTTGGCCACCACAGGATCATCAAAATCTACTATCTGCAAGCCAGAGACATTCGCTCCTCCATACTGGATTTTGGAGAGGTCACCGTCCACAAAACCCTGGAACAAAATCAGCAGCAGAGATCACTGGACCATGGTAGCTGGACCATGCTAGGGCCTTTTAGTCAGACAGTCATTGTGTTCTGGTGGGAGAAACAGCACGAGTACTCACTAAGTTGGCGATGATGTAGTGGTATCCCTTCACGTGCCGGCCTATGGTGATAACCTGGAGAAAAGAACAAAGCAGCCTCACATAAACTCTCACAAAGCGTTACTTCTGAGGACCGAGCATGTTTCCTACAATGGGATATTTCAGCTTCTGTCTGTCAGACAGGGATCAGAGCATTAAAGACAGAGAGACTACTGTGAATCAGTCTATAATTATAATCAGTACAGTAGAACCTATACATATGAATTCAATTGGTTCCAGGACATACTTCGTAGGTTGAAATATTGGTATGTTGGTTCAAATATTCCCAAAAGAATACACTGTAATTCTTATAACTGGTTCCACAGTCCAAAATTATCCGATAACTCCTTAATAAATACAGCAGATAATTACACATAGCAATAAAAACAAATGCATTATATAAGAGACATGTAAAAATAAATAAATGATAGAAAAATTATCAATAAAAAGGGTTTTTATTGGCACTTTTTGGCAGAGGTGGAGACTGAGATACAGGACGTACCCTAACTTACTCTAACTTTCACTACCTGAAATTTAAACTAACTTAGCTTATTCATTTTTATTTAATTTTTATGTTTTATATATAGTTTTCAATGACTTCGACGTTGTATGTTGGAAATTGACTTTGGATGTCAAGTTGAATATTTGATCAAATTCACTTCGTATGTTGGAAAATTCGTATGTTTAGGCATCGGAAGTAGAGGTTCTGCTGTAGTGGTAGAAATGAGGATGAGCAGGATTCAAAGGAACTTTGATAGGACAAAGGAAAGATGATTATTATTTACAATACTAGAAGTAAAACTGGAATCAACCTGTTCCATGATGTCTTTCACTTTGTCTTGCTCACAGTCCAGGATGATGCGCCGCTCCTTACGGATCTCCAAGTCCTGAAAAACACAAAAACATGCACTCGAGTCAGAGTCAGAGTACAGACCCCCTGCAGAGTGAGCTGGAGTGAAAGACCCTGGAACGAATGTCCCCGAAACACATCTTATCGAGGCCCAGCAGAGGAATCTGCACAGGGACGAGCCTCTCCAAGAATCCTTCACACAGGAAGAACCATCAAACGAATGTACAGGACCAGTTAGTATGGGGAGGGCTCACGTTAGTACTGAATATAGTGAGTAGAGTGAAACATTGCCTCTTTTTCTAGCTGTTAAAGTCATGTCTGTTGATCCAGATTTAATGTTTTTTCTATGTGATCAGATCATTGGTTTGTTGTGCCCTAACATGTCTGCTTATGTTCGTATCCCCAGCAGTATTCAGAGGTAAACGGTTAACTTTAGATTTCCCTGAACCAACATCTCCAGCCCTCTAAGCAGCCACCCTTTGGGCCCCATTGTTCCACCCCCACTTTTGTTTCACATATCACGATCTATTCCCCCGACAATGTCCTCCAAGTGTAACTCAGAGGTCAGCAGTTAGAAGGCACCCAGTTCCTGTCGTGCATATAAATGTGCCTGCTATGGCCCTGGAGGTCAAGCCACCAGGCGATAACACCGAGAGGCTGGAAAATAGCCGTACCTGAAACAGGGAGCGGTAAGCTTCGTCCTTCCTCTCATCCTTCAGGTTTCCAACGTTTATGGCCGTTACGACCCACTTTTTCTCCGCCGCAGTGTCCAGTATCACCTGGAGGGTAGAGAGACCTAACAGCACACACTGGTTTGTCGCACTTGTCTCTTTCAGGAAAGAATCATTTTCAAGTGTATCATTTTTAGAAAATTCGAAATGTGGATAACCCTGTAAGACCCACAGCTGCAAATTTACACAACAATTCCAAAAAACGGCTTGCAAATATATATATATTTTCTCTTAAGAGACCATTTACTCAGTTAACGTTCATCCTCAAAGAGCTATTGGATAGAAATTGTGTTTACAGGTCCGGTCATCTGGCCTTGAACCCACTCTACCTGCAGGCTTCCCATGTGAATCCCGTTGTAAATGAGCAACTGTGGGTCTCACAGGGTGCAGGACAGAGTCCCGTTACCTCTGTCGCTGTCGTACAGGTAGGCAAACTTCTCCCACTTGTAGTACTCCACTAATGAGACCAGCGGCCCCTTGATGTCCGGCCTCATTTGGAGAACAAACTGATTCATTCCTTCTGCCGGGAAAGACGGCGTGATGAAGGAGACGTGAAGCGTCTCACAAAAGGACGTGATGGTGTTGACCGATTTCTTGTCGTAGAAGCCGAAAATGGCGTAGACGCCCCGAGAGAACTGGGAGCAAACTGGAAGAGAAGAAAGAGAGAGATGAACAGAAACTTAGAGACAGATGAGCAGACGGGCTACAAGTCGACCTCTGGGGAGGCAGGGCGACAGCTATTCACAATAATATCATGAATAACAGTAATATTATTAATAGAGATTTCATAGAGCCGTAGTCTGGCTTTTACAGATACCCTAAAATCTCACAATTCTCAGGTTTCATATGTCACAACATTGTGAAAATGCTTTATTGGTCTGAAACCAGTTCCAGCTTCGGAGGGATAGCACAACATATCCAAGTGTAGGACTGTGCGAATAATAATGGAGACAAATTTCCATGTTGCTTTAATCAAGTTAGCCAGCAGATTCTGATCAATGGTCTGATTAACTCATTGACTGCCAGCCATTTTCAGAACAGAGAGTCCCATACTGCCAGAGTTTTTTAAGCATTTTGACTGATTTTTCAAGAGCCACAGAATAGTTTATGCTATGACTATGTAAACACCGAACACACCAAAAGAAAGAGTAGACTCTCTTCTTTCATCAGGACAAAAATTTTGTTTCTACCTTATTCCGTTCTTCCTCGACTTGCGTGTCACCGGCAACATGTTCTCTCATAGCGAACCGTTACCTTTTTCTTATTTGCCTACAATCTATGCTCATCTCCCATCAAAAGTGGCACTGCCACCTAGAGGGTCGATTTGTTAGTACATACTCTGTCTAGAAGCCTGATATTTACGGACAAGCTTTAGCAGATCGTCCCCCAAGCCACTCTCGTTGAAAAACATAAAAGACGTCTTTAGACGTCTTTGGCAGTCAACGGTTGTATTTGAATTGACGTCTACAGACGTCTTTGGCAGCCAATGAGTTAAATGATGACCAGTGAGTGTGAGCAGCTCCGGAGCATTCAGAGAACTGTTAAAAAAACATCATATCATCAGTAAAAAAGAAGTCCATCTTTACTCTGGGAGCTGGAGGTCACCAACCTCCCAGCTTCCTGCATCACATAATCAAACCCCGTGAACCCGATATTGTCTCTGCTGGAATGTGTAGAGGAAAGGACCCAACAGCGGGAGGATACTGAAGCAGCCAGCTGCCGCCTCTGACGTCCTCCCTGTCAGATCCTGGCTCTCTAAAAGCAGCTGCTCAGACGCTGCCTTCAGGCTCCCTGAACAGCGGCTCAGGCTGGGATCTCTCAGAGCTGTGCCGTCGTCCAAACGCTGCCATGTTCAGTCCCAGCTTCAGGTAGCCGTTGTTTGTAGTTTTAAGGTGACCTATCTGCGCTACACTGCTATATTTAGCTGTCCCACTTCAACGTCCTCGTTCTTTTGCCTCAGTATATATCACTCTGTTCCATCTCTCTGAGTAAAATAACACATCGGTGTTCCTCATAGATTTATAACTGTGCCGTTTTGATGAAAGTTGGTGTTTTATCTTGGTTTTTATGGTTTACTCTGGCTAGAACTGTAAACGGGATTGAGAAGGTTCTCTGTGGGTAGTCCAGCTTCCTCTCACCATCAAAAGCATGCCTCAGGTTAACTGGAGGGGTAAGTAGACATATAGATTTAAACTTTATGAGGATCTATGCGGTATGAGTAGTTGTACAGTAGTTGTTCCCTTGCTAAGGGAACCAGAACAGAAGAAGAGTGGGCTCATACCTGAAAAACATGTGAAACTGCCCCGCATACGTCTAGTTTACTTATTAGAGTTTGCTGGGGTCTACATTTCATAATGTAGGAAACTGCACACATTTGCAGCATGTTGTGGTTTAAAAGTGGACTAGTGGTCGACTTGTGCCTGACAGTTTACTTTATGTGGCCAAGAGAGCACTGATTTCAGGTGTTCTCCTCAGATTTCTCCTCAGAGGCCTAACAAATATGTCTAGATTTGGAAAGGTAGAAATGAAATCTCTCTATTCACTCACAGAATTTGGGAGCTTTCATCTGGATACCTGACTTAGCTTCTGTTGTGGTTCAGTTCCAAGTTTCAGTCTGGAATCTGACATCCAGTCAGACTCCTCACCATAAAAGGTCAATTGCATACTTCCTTAGAAAAGCAAGTTGGATTCATTCTTAAGAAAAGCTGGCTGGAGCCAAATAAAACAGAATCACCAAGACCAACAGAACACACCCAAAAACACAGGCTCAGACTGGAGGAATCAGAATATCTGGCACACAGGAAACCAGGATCGGACCAAATGAAACAGAATAATCTGGCAATGGGAAGGGAAAAGAAGAGATAGGCTTCAGGTGTGCCCAAAAGGCCCCATCTCCTCAAACCCAAACTGATAAACTGGAAATGGAGATGCCAAAAACAAAAGCATCTTTTCAGTATTTCTTCCAAAGGTGAGTATGGCAAACCCCTCTCGCTCTCTTTCCCCTCAGTTGTTGTTTGCCATCTAATATTTGCTTTATGTTTAGTGGATTCCCAGCAGGGCTTCTTCATTATGTTTTCATGACTGACTCCATTTACATTTATGCATTTAGCAGACGCTTTGATCCAAAGCTACTTACAAAAATATCAAATGATTGCATCATGTTAAGTCACTGTGATGTTCTCTGTTGGGTCATAAGTTGTGTATTTTTTAAAAATCTTGTTATCGGGCTCAGCTGTGCTTTTTGTTGTAGTTTTAATTCACCTATGTTCCAAGATTATCTTATTTCCTGTTATCTTTGGATCCTCCTTCCCCTCGTTCCCTAAACCTGTTCCAGGTACAGCAGAGTGGTAAAATCTACTGTATATAGTGGATGCATGGAGTAAAGAGTAGGTTTGTTTACAGCATGTCTAGGGAAATGCGTCCTGTCTTTTGCTGGAAATGGCCGTAATGAACACTGCTGAGGCTACTGTCACTTACAGATTGAAGGTGGAATAATGAGAAACAAGGCTTGCGATCTCAGTGAGGTTTATGTGGGCGTCAGCAGAGAGTGAAGGCTGTACACAGTGTAGCACTCCATAGCATCTGCAATATGGATGGTAGGAAAGTAGGCTCAGTGCTTTCACTGCTAGCACACACGGGGCTTTCAAATACCAAAGCTTTGAGCTCCAGGCTATGATTCCATCATGCTCCGATAATGGTCGAGTATCCTCCACTCCACGCATGGAGTCTTTGTTCCTGCTGCCTCTGCTTTTTCCTCCACAGCAACAGAAATGATGTAACCGAGCCCAACTTTGCCTTATTCTGCCCAAGTTGAACGTGTCAATTGTTGATTTGCATGATTATTTTGATTATTACACAGACTATAGGAAAATTGTCTGCATCTCTTACTCAAAAAATGACATTTTAAGACTCTTTATACAACCCTCTAATGATCCTGTAAATGGGTTAATGTGTCATATTTCCAATTCTGAGCAGTGTGGTGTAACAGTCCTAGGTTCAGGAGCATAATCGGACTATCTATAGACTGACAACAGTGGTTTGTGAAACTCTCTGACCAGGTTTTCTAATTCAAATTTGCACACTGAGAGCAGTGCATCCGTGCTACAAAGAATCAGGAAAAAAGGGCCTGGAGTACTACTTTCCATAAAGCCAATCAGATCGTTAAGGAAGAAGTTCAAGTACTTCCTCTTTGACTGACAGTTGTGTTACACGCTTTGGCTGATATCCAGTGTGATGCATGTCACTGCCAGCTGAACAAAAGCAGCTCTCTCGCTCATATCACTTAACCACTGATCGGTAATAATTTCTCTCATTTGCGTCTACAGTTTGATCTGGAGAGAAAGACTGAGTGAGTAGAAAATAATATGAGCTGTTAACTACATTCTTGAAAAAGCCATTCTACCAATTCAACTTCAGTCTTGTCTTCACGTCAAGATAAGAAAACAATACTTACAGCAGTTTGTGACGGCAAAACTGTTAGCCACCTCCAGGTTATCGATGTGTGGAGTTAGTCTGAAATCTGTCATCCCGAACTGGACCATGCCCACTCTGAATGCGCTGTACTCCTGATCTGCACCCCTGGGGAATAAACCACCTGAAACAAACAGGAACACAGTTAGAGACACTTCACAAAATCAGTTCAATTTATCCAAATGCTTTTGATCACAGTTGAAGCAAAGAAAGAAAGAATAATAATACTTCTTATTCAATAAGGCCCTTTTAGGAGGAGGACCAGAGGGAACCAGGAGGTGAGTGAAGGAGGAGGACCAGAGGGAACCAGGAGGTGAGTGAAGGAGGAGGACCAGAGGGAATGAGGAGGTTTGTAAAGGAGGACATGAATGAGACCTCGATTCACCGGTCCACACCACTAGGATTACAGCAACCACATCTGAGAGTTTTTTGGAGTGTTCGATGGTAACAAAGAGAGGGAAGGTTGTCATTACTGAGAGGATTGCACCATCAAAAGGCAACATGGAATCCCACAGGCAAATGAGAACCACGAAAAGGTCGCTAGAACTTGGCAAGTTCTCAGTAATCAACACCTGTGCCCTGCCAGTCATCAGGTACCCTGCTTGGATAATAAACAGGCCAAATGAGAAGATAGAAGCCACCGATATCAAGACAAGAAAGCTCCCTACCATGCTTGGAGGGTTTCACCCCAAGTCCAGAACCCCCAGACTGTATGGTAAGCAAAAGGAAGGTGGCTGCTGACTAGTGAGTGTCAGAATCACTATCCAGGATGACACTACAAACATCCATGAGAACATGAGGAAGATTACTGCAACTAATGAAGCGCTTAGTAAAGGTGGGCTGCAGAAACCTGAGCTAGAACAGGAGTGACAATAGGAGCCATCATGGCAGGAGGGCATATACCATCGGGAAATAGCAGGAGTGAATTAAATCAAGACATCCTATAAATGCCTGGACTAAAAAATGACACAGAGGCACTGACCATGACAGCAGTGGAGCAAGCCTTAAGCACACCATCAATAGAAGTTACACCCAACCACACTAAGCAGGGTGCAGGCTGTGTGAAGATACCACTGAGACAATCCAGCGCATGGCAGCAGAGTGCAAGATGCTAGCAGGCAGAGCCTACACGGAGTTCCATAACTAAGCGGCCAGTATAATATAAAGGAACATCTGTGCATGGAAGTATCAAGGTCAAAATAGGATATGCCCCCTAGGGTAGTTGAGACTGACCCGGCTAAGATACTGTGGGCCCTCCAGATACAGTCAGACAAACTGGCGATGGCTTACCAACCGGACATGGTAGTGGTGGACAAGCAGAGGAATAAAGGCTATAGTGATAGATGTAGTTTAACCGAGTGATGGCAAGAAAGAACACGAGAAGCCCGGGTAATACAGAGGGCTGGGAGAAGAACTAGAGAGGATGTGAAGGGTTAAGGTGGTTGTGGTCCCTGTGGTTACTGGAACATTCAGGGTAGTGACCCCCTAAACTGGGGTAGTGTCCAGAAGAGCTCATTCCTAGAAACAGCAAAGATACTGTGCAGGACTTTCCAGCTCCCAGGCCTCTGGAGGACAGGGCTCTAAGGATAATGGCTGCCTCATGGGGGAAGTCGGGAATTTCTACACACGTGTATGTGTGTGCGTATGTGTACATTTGCTTCATGTAGAGATTTTTTTTCATTTATACACATGGTCACTGGACATTAAGGGGGATATTGTCAAATGCGGTGCAACAAGCACATTTTTACCCTGTCATCTTATTTCATATTCAAAATTTCTACCTATTACGATCAAATGTGATTGGAAACTGTGAAAACCGAGCCTTTTCTACATCCTACATCAGTTCGGTCGGAGCAGTTGTGGTGGTCTGGCAGAATGAGGTCATCCTCTTCATCTGAGCAGGGAAGCGGAACTTGTGAGTGTAAGGCGAGTATGGCTGCCTTTAGTGAGGCAGAATCATTTGCTTCTGTGCCTGACAAGCCTTAAGAAGCCCAATTAACTTCCATCTTCAAATCAAGGTCACTATTAACATAAAGCCACTTTATTACTCTTAATGCCATTTAAGCTTATCCTCCTTTAAAGACTTTCTATCCATTCTTTTTGGAGTTCTGAACCGCAGACTGATGGACTGGTGACCTGTCCATGGTGGACCTGCCCCTCGCCCACTGTAAGCTGGGATAGGCTCCAGCCCCCCAGCGTGACCCCTTTGGAATGAGCGGTGTAGAAGATGGATGGATGAACTGCAGAAACGCAATTCATCTATCTAAGTAATAGAAACCCGCACTCCTGCCGTATCTCAAAGTAATTGGACATCTAGCTGGGACAGTCTGCCTTTACATTGATGATGGATCTACAAGACCATGATTTATTGAGCAGAGCTGATTACATTACGAATACAGTAAGGAAGAAAAAAACAGGGGGCTGTTCTGCAGCTTGACGCATTTATGAGATTGAATCCCATCATTGTAGGAGCACCCATTAGGGTTATGGTGCTGAGGTTCTATAACAAAACCTGGACAGATTAAGGATCTGATTTTTATAAACTATTTCGTACACAAAATAATAGAGCCACTGGGTCAGTTCATAAAATGTATTTATACTTTATCATAAAGGATAATAGAGTACTTTAACAAAGGTGGTAAAACCTCAATGGGAATCTAGTTGGAACTAAAATGTGGACAACCAACCCAGTGACTTTCACACATAGAGTTTGATTACAGCTGAAGCACTGTACTGTCCACCCCTAACTAACAGGACGAAGAGCAGTCGTCTGCCACTTATAAGGTCAATACTCTGGCCGAAGGGTCCTCCCAGTGATAGATGAAGCTCCGCATAGCCTGTAACGCCCATCGTTTCTGGAAATGTGAGAGTTGCTTGCTCAGTGTTCAAACAGACTAGTACGTTACCGTTACCGTGAGTACCTGAGCGGCTGTAGCCTAAAAGCCCCGCTCGACCTCTAGCAGGGAGCTCCAGGCCAGCAGGGAACATTACATTCCCAAATGACTGCTCTCTCTTACTCACCAGTGACCTTACGAGCAGGGTCAGCGTAGGTATAAAAGTGGAAATAAAAAACACAGCCCCTGCAGAATGGAGGACTGGACTAAAGAACCGATTTCAGAGACAGACTGTGAAGAACCCATAGCTATCAGAATATGAATACAAGACATACGTAGATCAAACACGGCTTAAAACTCATGTAAAACTGAGAAAAACTGGACACTGAAGCCGGGTGATATTAGATTGATTATTACTATCTATCAATATGTTACTTTTTACACCAGAGAATGGAAAAGAATGACTCCATGAACACTGATGTTAGCGGATATGAAGCGTTTCTCAGCTGTCACTGGGAAGGAGGTGGAGTACACCTTGGACAGGCTGCCAGTCTTTCACAGTCTTTTCTCTAACTATGCAATTAAACACTATAATTAGAATTTCAATGACAGACTGAGCTCCCCAAGCCCTCTATGGGTCTGTGACATCCAGACAGTCTGGTAGATTTGCATCTCTGTTGCAGGAAATGCTGCTAAACTGTGTGAACCAAGTGGACCGAACCACACGTTTCATACAGCTGCTCGCCCTGAAATGAGCCCTGGGCAGGAAGGAAAAAACAAAACCCGGCTCACTGATTGGCCAGGATCAAAAAGGCAACAAACTCAAAGCGATCGGGGAAACGCCACGTCTCTGTCGTCTTAGGCCTTCTGTTCTTTCTTTGGTGTTCGGATCTGATTACTTTTTCCCCAGAAGCTGCCCGGCGAGAGTAGCCGGCGAGGCTGAGAGACGGGACTTCACCTGTTGGTTTGTGTCTTCTCTGTGGATTCTGGACACAGCCTTTGCTCTTAGTCTGTAAGGGAGATGCAACAAGGCTCACTGGGGAGAGAGTAGAGCTCAGAGGTGGCTTTTTCTGGTGCACACTCAGGCCGGCGAGCTTTCCCCAGCCTGAAGCTTCAGTATATCTGGGGAACCAGCAGAGATGCACAGTAACCAAGTAGAGCTATTTAAGTACTTTACTTGGGTACCAAAATGCAGTATCTGTACTTTATTGGAGTATATATTTTTTGCCCTACTTTTACTTTTAGTCCACTACATATTTTTGATTAATTCAATACTTCTACTTTGACTTTCATGGGCTGAATCGTTACTGGTTACTGATATGTAAATGTCACGAATCATCCCCAAGTCATAGTGTCAGAGCCAGAGCTGTAGATAGCTCTGTCACAGTTTGGGAAGCTGGCTCCTCATTGGCCGATTTGAGCGATCAAGCATAGCCTATAAAAAAGATGCGTCGAGAAATATTGCGAAATTGTATGTACTTTCAATACTTGAGTAGCAATTTTTGATATACTTCTACTTGCAAGTACGGAATTGAGTACTTCCGTACTTCCACTTAAGTATGGTGTTGAAAGAACACTTCAACTTTTACTCAAGTCAATTTTTTTATATAGTACTTGTACTTCTACTCCAGTACTTTATACATCTCTGGGAACCAGGTACGGCTGGGTCAAGCAGCACCTGTGGGAAGGTACCCAGGTAAACTCTGCTCCAGCTGGTCCAGGGTCCAGATAAACCAGGCTCTGTGGAACTACCTGGCTGTCTCAGAGGGCTAGGACACCTGGAAGTACATGACCAACACTACGGGTGGCCAAACAACGATGGGTCTCTCCGGTCAGCAAGTCCAGCTCTTTTTTCCAACAAACCCAGATTGATGGTGTCTGGGATGCCTAATCCCAGACTCCAACGACAGGCTGGGACAGTGTGAGTTTCTCGTTTTGCATGGTGCCCAGGTGTGAAGCCGTTTGGAGCCAACAGGCTTCCAGACCTGGAACGCTGAGCAAACGGCACCTTCGTGGCCAACTTCCCAGCACGGCCTCTTTAGGCTAACCTTCCACCCTGCGTGGACTGCTTTAGAAAAATGCGATCCCAGCCAAAGACGACGGACTTACAGAGAATCTCCACCACGTGGAATCTGATGCCTTGGCCCCCGTCTCGGTGGACCGGCTGTAGTACGGCTGATGAAATTACACGGACCAGGGGAGCAATTTATGAGGGGCTGTGAAGGAGCTGTTAACAGCTTTATTGATCAGCATTGCGGTCTGGATAAGAGGAACCACATTGATTTCCACATGAATCCACTGGGGATATCAGCTTCCAGTGAATACTTTTTCCTGTCTTTGGGCTGACAAAGAGCATCAGAAGATAATCAAAGATAATCAAAAAGTCCTTTTTTTAAAAATCCAGACTGCCTTCTATCACATTATATATTCCTAATAACATATTTGTTTTTAAAATATCTTTATTTTTCATTGGATGTGTTAGGAGTGTGTTTGTAGCCTACATGTTCATCTTTAGCTGGTATATGTTTTTTGCGTGTATTATTTCTAATGACAGCTACTACTATGCACTACGCACTCTGGAGTCTATGACAAATTTCCCCTAGGGGACAATAAAGTATATTCTGTTCTCATCTACATCACAATGCCAACAGACCCCTCCTTCTTTTGATATAGGGTTAGGGTCTGAGTATATGTCCTAGTCTGTGGCTGAATTGTTTCTAAGCTCTTTATTTCCCTCTTCTATGTGTTTCACTGGTTGTTGGAGCCAATAGTTCCTTCTGTGTTTTACTCCTACGTATTCCCATTAGCCTCAGCTGTAGGCCCTTCCTGATCAGAATATACAGTTGCAACGAATTCTGTTATTGGTCAGCGGCCACTGAAACTCTGACATCTAAGTTACAGCAATATCTGAAAACACACCACAAACTGCGAGATGACAAGCGGGTGACAGCCGAGAAAAGCAGTCCAGTGTCGTTAGCACCCCTCATGTTGGAGACATAGGGAGTGAGGGAACCTAAGAAGCTACAGGTTTGTGCTGTAGGTCTGTATCTGAATACATCTCAAACTCGTACACTGTCAAAGGGGCCAAAAACAAAGCGTTATGTTGCTTTTTGTTTTTGAGTCTTACAGAAATATGGGAATCTTTCTTTGGCATTTCTCTCATTTAAAAAAAAAAGTCGTATATTTGGTATTAAGGGAACTGAACAGTAAAGATATTTAATGTTTAAGATAATAGAGACAAAGTAAAAATCTTTGGGCTGTGCAAAGTGACACAGTCTTCAGTTTTTGTGGATAATGTTTGACTCTTTTTTAATATTTGACTTGTTTCAGATGGAGTAAACGTGCTCTTTTTTGGGCTTATTTTGGGTAATTTAGCTTAGCTGCCGCCATCAGAAGCCCGGCTCCCAAAACTGAGAATCCTCGGCTGAATCCAGGTAAGAAACTGACTACTGCTAATCATTCTTCCTTATAACTATCCATCTGGATGGCACGTTGACTGGCAGCGGCTGAGCTAATACTGTCACAAACTGAGACACAAACGGCTCCAACAGTCCGAACACAGAAGGAAACTCACACCAAACTCTTCTGAGAGACGGAAAATGCTGCTTCCTGCAACAGGACCACCTGACCTGCTTCAACAGGCTAAGAAAAATACTCCATCTTCAACCCTTTTGTTTTCTGTTAGTCATTCCAGCGATGACTTCACCAGAGCTTTAAATTCTTTATTCTATAGATCTCTGCAGAGGAGCTGGTTGCTATTCTGACCTTCTTCCTCTTTCTTTAGATCCTTGGTGACAGCCACAAATTGGACAGTTACAGCTAATAATTGTTGGTAAAATGGTCTATAAGGACCACAAAAAAAAAGCAGCAAAATGCTTAAAAATCCGTTTTTTCAGAGCAAAGAAGAAAGAGGAAAAGATGTCTGGCAGTTTTAAATTCTGCGTTTGCTTTCTTTTGGCAAATGATCGTTCTCGTTTGTTCTCTCTGGTAGAACATAGCACTAAAATAGCTTTGTCTTACACGTTCTCTGAGTAATTCCGCCCTGGCACATTGTTCTAAACATAGCTCTGGAGGCCTTGTTGCTTTTCACTTCCCATCATCTGAGCGCAGATGGAGGCCGGTGGACCGGATCCAAAGTTTGGAGCGGTAAATAAATAAAAAAAAAAACAGGCACCGAAAGCTATGCAGAATAGATTCAGAGCCGCGCTTCAAAATGGAGCGACGGGTCAGCCTCACACCTAAATATATATCCCGAACACACTTCCACATCTCCGTCTCCAGACACGGAGCTCTGGTGGGCTCTGCGAAGTGTCCCCCCCCCCTGGAATGGGAGGAGGGAAGGGTTTCCAGGCAGGGCCTGGGATTTTGGGGTCTAAAACGCGAAATGGAGCTCCGGCGAAGGATCTGGAGCCCACTGGCCTTTACCCTTCAAACCCACCCCCCCACCGGCAGGGGGAAAAGCCCCCCCCCCCTTTTTTCCCACAGCCTGCTCTGGCACGGTGATGCTTGCATAAGAAGGCTCGAATTAAAAAAAAAAAAAAAAGATGACTGCAGCGAGCACAGGCCTCTCCTCCCCACAGCAGCATCAGGGCAGATGAGAGGCCCTCGGAGATGGAGATGGAGATGGAGATGGAGGAGGGGGGGGGTGGGGGGCGGGATGGGGAGCAAGCGGAGCTGAAATTCACAGATCACGGTGAAATGGAGAGTGCGGGAAAAACACGCATCCCTACCGATCTGCACGCTCGGAGATCCGCAAAGTGCGTCCTGGAGGAAGAGCGCCAGCACAAAGAGCAGCTTCATGGTCGCGATCGGGGTGCCCCCCCCCCACGCCTCGCGCGATGCCACAACGACAACGACAACGACGACGACGACCACCCGGTGGAACCTCGCGGAATCGATCTCAGATCACACCCCCCCCCGGGCCTCAGACACAGCGCCGCACCATGGTGTCGCTCCGTCCGTCCGCGGGAGGAGAGGCTCCGGCACTGCGGATGCCGTGTGTGTGTTCCCGTATACCGGAGATGCGCGCGCGCGCACGCGCCCCGCTTCCCCTTTCGACTTGGAGGCGCGCGCTCCTGGTCGATGAAGCACGAGGGGGATCCGAGAGTGGCCGATCGCAGCTTCCAGCAATGTCTATGAAAGCTGTGCGTGTGTGTGTGTGTGGTTGTGTGTGTCTGTGTGTAGCTATTGGAAAAATGAGTGGATACTCCAGAACTACCAGGAACGTTTGTCACATAAGTCCTTCACCAATAAGAATAAAGCCGTTCAAATAGAGCTAGAGCTAAATATTGTTTTCATCCATTCATTTATTAGAATTCTATTAATTTGGTCCAATCGTATAAAGACGGTTTGAGGTGATCTAAACTCTTTAGTTGACCGTAATCGGAATAAGCATCAGACCGTGGATGGATGTTCTACAGCCCAAACCATCACATTTAAATTCTGTTTTTTTTTAATCCGGTTGTTGAGCTTCAGATCTGGATTTACTTGAACCCTCGAGCTTGGTTTATGTGCTTTGTTTCCTGGGCCAAAGAATCTTGATTCACATGGTTCAGTTGGGCCACCAAAAACAATCTCTTCTGTCCTTATTTTAAATTAAAGTCCAGAAAGTTATGACCAATGTAACCTTTATTTCATCAAGACACTTCAGTAACCATCATACTACTAATTAAAAGCCATGCTGTTTAATAGTGGAGGAAAACAGAAGAGATTGAGCAGCAAAGGAGAATAAAAAAGACAGGAAACAAACCCCCCCCAATCCTTCCTGGAGAGCTGGATGAGAGGATGTTCTGAATCAGAGATCAAGATTTCACGGACCACTTTGTCAATGGAGCAATCTACTCTGAGAGTACAAGAGAGTCCATGGCTGAAATAAATCAGTAAGTAGTAATTCGGTGTTGCACAGGCCCTGAAACCAGAGCAGAAAAGTCCACAGAAAGTGTAGTCTGGAGGCTGGCAGAGGGACCCAGACCTGGCTTTTGATCAGAGGATTAAAAATGTCCGGGTCAACACCTGAGGACGCGCTGCGGCTATTTATAGCTTCAGGATCAGATGACCCCGTTTGGAGAACCTGAGGGCTTCAAATGACCAACCTCATGTGAAAAGGACAGGAAAGTGTTGAAGGCTCTAAGCAGGTGAACCAGAATAGGCCTGATCTATGGGATGGAGATGTGTTTCGCTCTAAAAGATTTGACGAGGACGCATCGTCAGTTTCTGCACACGTCTCCACAAAACAAGTCCGAGCCACTTTGTTCCTTTTTATTTCAAGTTTTAAGGAGATCATCAACATTTCTGTTGATGAAGGGAGTCAGAGAAGCTGAGGTGTGCTTCATCAGCCCCACATGGGACCTCCTCGGTCCCTCCTGAGACCAATTAATGAGCCACTCTGAATCTTTAACGATGTTAAAGCGTGAAGTTCAAGGCAAACACGGAGAGTTCCAAGCAGATCTTTTAAAAACGATAACAAATATATTAAAACAGCACATGCTAACGTCCTTAAAAATGCAGATTCCACCTTCAGTTTCATGGATGTCTGTTTACGTCTCTCGCCAGTATTCATCTACACTTTTTAGATCTGTTTAACAACCTTTAAGTGGGCTAAGCGGGAGGTGTGGTGGTCAGCAACACAGCCAGAGGGTTCTGGGTTGGAGTCCTGGGGAACCAGGACCAGAGGGTTCTGGGTTCGAATCCCGGGGGAACCAGGACCTTTCTGGGAGGAGTCTGCATGTTCTCCTGTGTCTGTGGGTTCTCTCCGGGTTCTCCGGCTTCCTCCCACCGTCCAAAAACCTGCATGTTAGGTTGGTTGGACTCCAAACTGCCCTTAGTGTGAGTGTGTGTGGTTGTTGGTCCTTGTGTGTCTCTGTGTGTCCCTGCAATGGACTGGGGACTGTCCAGGGTGACCCCGCCTCTCCCCACTGACCACTGGGATAGGCTCCAGTCAAAGTTATAAGAGGATAAGTGGTTATGGATGGATGGATGGAATGGTCTAAGCCTAATGTTTGGTACCAATACTAATAGCAAAGACAGAGAATTTATAGGATAAAGAGTTATTTCCAAAAGATAAAAGATGCTGGCTCTATAATTTGCAGGAGTGGGACACCATGGAGAAGAAGACAGTAAGATCAGCAGAGGAGAGGAAGGGGTCAGCTGGCCTGATGACCACCACTGTGCTTCGTGCACCTGCCTGTCTGGACAGGGAAGAGCTGCTCCACATCAGTGGTCCTGGAGGTGCTGTGGCTATTCTGGCCACTAGGGACCGCTGTTGGACACCTGTCCATCATGTGTGCCCTCTCATTTTGGTTCCCTCCTCTGCCACCTGCTGTCACTGGTCAGTTACTTTGTATTTTCTGCTCCTGATACTTGGTGCTATGGGTATTGGGGTTGTATTGGTGGTACTTAAGACGTTAATGCCCCATTCTTCTTTGTGTTTTTTTACGTTTGGAGATGTTTGGTGTTACCAAACATTTTTTTGTTCTACTTTTGGAGCCCTTGTACTGTTTGTAGGATGTTTAAAAACATCCTGGGACTTTTTGTGAACCATCTGAGTTTGTTTTTTGGAGAAAATTAAAGGAGATCTTTGGACTTTAATCTCTGGACCTCCCTCTGTAGACCCAAACTGCTGCCGGGGACTCCCATGATGCACCTGTCCTCCCTCTATAGGCCCAGACATCTGGTTAAAGCTGCTGGTGTCAGTCATTGTGTTTTGGTCCTTTTCAGTCATGGTACACACACAATGTTAATGATGATGTTCCTAATGGATTAATACATGTCTAAGACTCAGAGATCTATTTTCCATTCACACGACACCACACAGTCCAATCATAATCATATATATTTTATTCATTCTCATGGTAAAACTGCATAAAGCTGCTCCATTTCGGGTACAAATGACATTAATGGTTTTATGGAAAAAATGAATGGCAGTAATATAGAAGGTAATGTACAAATGCACCATGTATAAACTTTGGGTTTACATAACTGCTGCACTATATTAGAGGAATCTAGAGGAATCGGGGATCTATATCAGATCCTGGATTGATATATGCCACTAGTTATTAATGGATCTTCAGGGTTTGGTCTAATGAGAGTCAGAGGAAAATGTTTGATGCCCTCAGACAGGAAGTTCTCAGACTTTCCGACATTACCCAAAGCAAGGCTGTAAGTGCTCAGGAATGATAGCACACCTAATAAAACACCAGGGATGCCGTCTCCACCATCCTTCAGGTGGTCAGAGGACAAGCTGTGAGTCCTCCATAAGAACAATATCAATCCTAACAACAAAGGGAGCACATGAACAGATTCCTGTACCGTCACGCCAAGAGGCAAACAATGGAAAAGGTGTTTCTCTCTTTCATTTGCTTCAGACATGAAGTACTTGGTACTGAAGTTACGTTGATAAAACAGGAGGAGGACAGTACTGTTATAGGTTCATTTCATGGGCCATCCATCAATCCATTCGTCTGTCTGCTCGGGTTCAAACGCTGTCACACTGATGGAAAGAAAAATGGCTTTTCCATTCCTTTTGGACACGTTAAGGGAAGCACGTCATTGATCTGCTAAAATGATTGCGATGAACATAATAAAGGGATCACATATTAGTCGCTTCTTACCACGTATTTCTTTCCTCGGTATATTCTTAAGACGCTTAATTTGAGTATAGGAGATAGATAATATTAGTCACTTTCTATGCATTTTTCGTAAAGTGCTACCAGTAATAGGGTAGAGGTATCCATGTAACCCCAGCATAGTTGGATTTGCTTTAAGCAAAAAGCCCCGACACAAACAGCATGCAGTCCTAAAGCGCCGGCCTAATGGGGGGGATAAGCTTTTCTCAAGTCCTAATTTACAGGTTCTGCCGTGGACCACCACGCACGGCTCCGACATGTTGGGAAGACGAGTCCAGAGTAGGGTCCGGGTCAGTCGGTCAGTCTGTTGGGAGGCCGGCCGCCTCCTGTCCCTCACAGGTAGACCGACCAGTAGACGACGTTGAAGAAGAGGAAGGAGAAGGGGAAGAGGGCCCTGGCGTAAAGGTCGATGCGTTTGGCGGCGTGGGGGATGACCGGCTTGGGCGGGGGGGGCTTCTTGTTGGTTTTGTTCTGGGACTTGAGGGCCCCCAAGACTTCCACCGGCTTTCCGTAACAGTCGAAGTTGGACAGCTCAAAGTCCCGGGGCAGAGATCCCACGATGCTGAAGTCGTTGGAGCGGAGGTCCGACTTGGAGGTGCAGACTTTCTTGCAGCGATTTTCCACCACCTGTAACGAGACGGAAAACTCAGATTTCCAGTTCCCGGGAGGATCGGGAATCTAACAGTGTGCCATCTTAACTCTGATGAAGCCTAACTGAAGATGAAAAAGGCCCTCAGTGACCCCAGACCTGGCCAGAACACCAGCAGAACCTCTGGTTCTGGAGGGTCTTTCCTTTGTTATTATCTCTACCTGCAGGGTGTTGACATGGATGGGCGTTCCTCCCGTCCCGTTGACTGTGTTGTTGGCTTTATTTGCAGGATTCTTTTCTTCCTTCTCTTTTAAAGCTTTTTCCTTTGACACCATTTTGACTTTCTCCTCCTCGATCAGTTTGGGGCTATTCAGAAACACCTGTGGAGCAACGAGAGAAGTATAAACTGCTCCTTTATGTATCCTGCAGTGATAAATACACCAGACCTATTTCCTAAAAATACATGAAACGTGGCTGTAAGTTTAGTGGAATCTGATTTTTTCCTGGCACGTTAGCCAGAGATGGTTTCATACACACAATGTGTGTGCTTGTGTGTAGTCACTGACCTGAACCACGGCGTATTCCACCAGGGATGAGAATCCAAAGAGCAGGCAGGCAATGAGCCAGATATCGATGGCCTTCACATACGAGACCTTTGGCAGCTCTGAAGCCAACAACATGCTCTCGCTGGACAGAGACAGCACGGACAAGATGCCTGGAGAAGGGCAGACATCCACAACAGCGTTCTTTAAGCACATCTGGGTCTCGATTTCTAAATAACTGAGATGTGTGACAAACAAAGTCTCTCTCTCACTGACAGCCAATGTGTGAATGACATCACCTCAAATGAAATATTCAATCAGACTGTATGTATGTATGTATGTATGTATGTATGTATGTATGTATGCATG